CCTTTTTTTTTTTTTTGTTGTTGTTGTTGTTGTTGTTTTGAGACAGGGTCTTGCTATGTAGTTGAGACTGACCTGGAACTCACTATGTAGCCTAGGCTCGTCTGGAACTCACAGCGATCCATCCTGCCTCAGCCTCCCAAGTGCTGGGATTACAGGCATGCGCCACCACGCCTGGCTCTAGTTTCTATTGAATGTTAAATGGAATATTAAAAAAGAAGATAGAGAAATAGGAAGTATGGAAAAGTTCTAATAATTTCCCAAAATATATATTCTGTGGTTTCAAAAATATTTTAATATATATCCTAATTTGTTTCATTTATACTGCTAGGTCCTCTTAGTTCATTGAAAAGAAAGTTTTGGGCCAGGGATTGAGCTCATTGGTTCTGCCACCTGCCTTGCAAGCACAGGGACCCAAGTTCAATCCCCGGCATTTAAAAAAAAAAAACAGAGAGAGAGAGAGAGAAAGTTTTTTTTTTGTTGTTGTTTTTTTGAGACAGTGTCTCACTATGTAGTTGAGTCTGATCATGAACTCACTATGTAGCTCAGGCTGGTCCTGAACTCACAGCGATCCTCCTACCTCAGCCTCCCGAGTGCTGGGATTACAGGCATGCGCCACGACGACCAGCAAAAAGAGAAAGTTTTGTACTATCATCTGTTTGCTTTTTTTCTTTTTTCTTTTTCTTTTGGACCGGGGATGGAACTGCAGACCTTGTGCTTTTGAGGCAGGCAGTGGAACCCTGACCCATTTGTTTCTTTTTATTTTGTTTTTTGATATTGGAGATTGAACTCCAGACCTGTGCTTTCGAAGCAAGTGGTGGCACCACTGAACTAAATCCCTGGCCCTGTTTGTTTCTTTTTTGTAAGAGTCATTTTTTTTTTTCTTTCTTTTTTTTGTACCGGGGATCGAACTCAGGTCCTTGCACTTGCAAGGCAGGCCACCGAACCACTGAGCTAAATCCCCAGCCCCTGTAAGAGTCATTTTTGTCTCTAACAGTTTGGCCATTCTTTTATGATTATGGTATACGGTGCATTAACTAATGTTGTTCTTTATTCTTTAATTAATTTGTTATAAAATTTTGCTTTATTTTTGCATAGAAAAAGTATTTTGAAAAGTATTTTTTGTATCTATGTCTACTTGTCTCACATTGAAATAAAAATAAAAGAACAAGGCATGTAGGAGCTGTGTGTGTAGGCTTTCATGAAGGGTGAGCAGAAAACCTCTGCTGTGGAAGGGCAGTGGAGGTGCCTGCTGGACTGGAAGTGTGAGGATAGACTATGTCCATGGAGTTCGCTACAGTATCCCACACTGCCACCTGGCGGTCACAAAATTATTTCTAGAATGAAAGAGTCAACAAATGAATGGGTGAAAAAAAGCTAAAGGATTGGAAGCAGAGGTCACCCTGAGGTGAAGTTGGCTGCATTTGCTTGAAGAATTGGGAGGGCGGGGGCAGGGATTTGGCTCAGTGGCACTGTGCCTGCCTCTCAAGTGCAAGGTCCTGAGTTTGTTTTGTTTTGTTTTTTGAGACAGGGTCTCACTATGTAGTTGAGACTGACCTGGAACTCACTAGGTAGCCCAGGCTGGTCTCGAACTCAGCGCTCCTCCTGCCTCAGCCTCCCGAGTGCTGGGATTAAAGCG